CTCCCCTGGGACCAGCAGCCTGTACCAATCTCTGCCCACCCTTTGCACATCATAGAGTCACCCCACCCCTGCCAAAGACGTTCTGAGCTCAGGACTAAAGTAATGACTCAATTGCTCCCTTCACTCAGGTCTGATTCTCCTGGGCATGGGAGGTTCTAAAGGACCTGGTGGGAGCTCTGATGGACAGGAAGGCCCATCCTGACACCTGACAGCCTGAGGAGGGTTGCAGACAATCATCCTTCTTTTCCTTCTCTCCCAGCCTCTTCCCTAGCTACACCTGGAGGTCTCAGTATGAAGGTCCCAGCCCTGCCCTATTCACAGGGGCCCCTCAGTGGCTGAGGATCTGAAACCTGGAGGAGACTGGCTGTCAGGTGAGTACACCGGGGCTCAGCCAGGAGTCCCAGGCCTCCTTCTAGCCTTAAGGGTTGCCTCCTTAAGTAGTGCTTTCTGTTTGCCTCCCCCCTTACTGGCCCGTTCACAGCCACTTTCTGTGAACATCAGCCTTCTGAACTGGGTCTACATGGCCTTCCACCATTTCCCACATAATTAAGCCCTCAATACCTGTTACTGTAAAGGCCTCAGCCTAAGATGGCAACTATGATTGCCCAGGAGAGAGTCACAGAGAGGATCAAAGAGATGGGGGTGTTGGTTGTGGCCTTGGGCAGGTCAGTGGCGATGGCAGTGGTTGATGCAGCTGTAATGGAAACACAAGAGTGACATCCATGCAGAACCCAGTTTACGGAGATGCCTCCTCAGCCCACGCTGTCCCAGGTAATCCTATGATGCAGACAGTTTCTAGCCTCTATGCGTGGCAGCTATGGTGACAGATCCTGGGGTTTGGAGCAAAGAGAGGAGCTGGTCCCTGGCCACCAGGAAGACAAGTACCATATATTTTCACTTCTATGCGGAATCTGATGAACAAAATAGAGTAACAGACAGACTCATGGATACAGAGGACAGACTGACACCTGTCAGAGTTGATGTGTTGTGGTGCAGGGTGAAAAAGAGGGATTAAGCAAAAAACCAAAAACAAACAAAAAACCACAAAACTCTCATAGACAGAAAAAAGCACCTTGTTATTCTCAGGTTTTGAGATCTTGCTGTTGGTATTTGTCATGTTTGGCTCAGATAAACTAAAAAATTCTCTAAAAGAAGAATAATACAATACTACAAAGAAATTCAGTTTTTTAGAATATAGGATGTTGATTTAAATATTGTACCGTTATAAGCTACTAATGGAAATAATTGTAAATATAATTTTGTTCTTTAAAAATACATAATTAGGCCCCTCACTGCGCACCACCCCTCAGAGCATACTGCCCAGGCAGCGCACCGCCCCTCAGAGTGCACCCCTCTCACAGGGAACCGCCCCCCACAGCCCACTGCCCCGGCAGCGCACCGCCAAAAAAAACAAAAAGCAAAAAAACAAACCAACAAAAAACATAATTACTTTTGTGGACAGAAAGAAATTGTGAGGTTTGGCACTTTTTTACAATATCATTTGCATAAAAAATCATGATGCAGAGATGTAACTGATCCTCCACAAAAAGATGGAAAATGTTCTCTTTGTGGAGATTTCTTATTGAAGCTATTAATGTTTAAATGTAGGAATGACATCTCTTAGCACCTGCAAAATTCACATAAACACAATTGTTCCCTAACCCCACTACCCTGTTCCACCTCTACCCCGGGTTTTGTAAACTTACCGCTGGTTGCAGGAATCTCTGCTTTAAAGTCAAGCAGGGTCTTCTTGAACTCCTCCACCATGTATTGCACAGGGTCGCTGTGCTCATTCCAGGCCTGTGTGCCATTAATCTCCAGAACACTGAAGAGTTTGACCTCCTGGCTACCACAGGTATAACGAAGAAATGTGTTTCCATTGACCTGGCCTTGAATTTCACACCATGGTTGTCCATTAGGAATGACTGTGAAGTTATAGCCCAGAGATTTAGCACCTGTGAGGAGAAAATGCAGGGGAAGGTTGGAGTTGGAATAAAAGTAACCCTAAGTGCCTCTCCCCCATTCCTGACAGCAAGTGAATCCCCCTGATGGCTGGGCAGCCCTTGTCCTGTTCAGGTCCCGACGTCAGGAGCTCGGGCTCCCACCTGGGACCAGCAGCCTGTACCAAGCTCTGCCCAGATGTTCTGGGTTAATGACTCAATTGCTCCCTTCCCTCAGGTCTGATTCTCCTGGGTGTGGGAGGGTCTAAAGGACCCAGTGGGAGCTCTGATGGACAGGAAGGCCCATCCTGACACCTGACAGCCTGAGGAGGGTTGCAGACAATCATCCTTCTTTTCCTTCTCCCAGCCTCTTCCCTGCAGCACCTGGAGGTCTCAGTATGAAGGTCCCAGCCCTGCCCTATTCATAGGGGTCCCTCAGTGGCTGAGGATCTGAAACGTGGAGAAGGCTGGCTGTCAGGTGATTACACCAGGGCTCAGAAAGGAATCCCAGGCCTCCTTCTAGCCTTAAGGGTTGCCTCCTTAAGTAGTGCTTTCTGTTTGCCTCCCCCCTTACTGGCCCGTTCACAGCCACTTTCTGTGAACATCAGCCTTCTGAACTGGGTCTACATGGCCTTCCACCATTTCCCACATAATTAAGCCCTCAATACCTGTTACTGTAAAGGCCTCAGCCTAAGATGGCAACTATGATTGCCCAGGAGAGAGTCACAGAGAGGATCAGAGAGATGGGGGTGTTGGTTGTGGCCTTGGGGTCAGTGGC